TTTTATGTATTAACATGTTTAAGTGTCCACATGCCACCCTGTATCGTCATAAAAAAAAAAAAAAAAAAAAAAAAAAAAAAAAAAAAAAAAAAAAAAAACGATTTGCTTATCCGTGATGTTCACTGACAACAGCTTACGATACGTCACGCATTCGATGAAGTAGTATGACCGTTGTTTTGGCAGCAATACTTTTCCGCAAACAAAAGCTTTACAAGAATCGTAGGAGAATAGACAAGTAAAACCTGCGAATATAAGGTATGAAAAGGAAGGAGACACGATAAGGATGGGATACACGATGCATGGTTATGAACAGAGTGAGCATGCTGACACTCCTGATACATTGTTGCCTGGTGTGCTTACTCTTAAACCCAACACTGTTAAGTACTACTAAACATTGCTGTGACTGGATTTTCAAACTCCTGCTGGAGCTAAATAGTGAATGTTAAATCTTCACCTAACAACAATTTAGGGATTGTGTGATGGGAGGCCGGCGAGTGGTGGGTTGTCAGCGTGCTCACATCTTTTCCATCACTGTGCTACATGTATCTCATCCCTATCTGTCTCCCTTACTTTTGACAATGCCAGTATAATTCTCCTTTTTGAAATTCGCAGATTTATTATTTACTTGTATACGTATGTATGCATACGAATTGGACATATCGTAACATTACTACAAGTAAATAAAAGTGTCGGTTAAAAAAGTGTGGATATAGGGCTGCCAAAAAGCAAGGAGACAAAACCGGGATGCTGGTTTGCTCATCGTTTGTGTGAGCAAACAGGAATTCTTAGACTCATCGTTGTGTGAGCAAACATGGAGTTACAACAAAAAACCGAGAAGTAGCTGTCCAGAGAGAGCTACACCTGAGCATTACACACGTATGAAATGAGTCATTCAATGACGTGAGCACACGTCATGCTTTGTGAAAAATGGCTTGTCTGGAGGAAATTACGCATGAGCAACAGCAAGTCAGTTGACCATCCATCCATTCTACTACTGTCATCACATGCACTACGTCATCTGCTGTCTTTTCTCCTGATTTTTTATGGCATCCCTATATTTCATACTTTTTTTAATTTTATTTGTCTCCTTTCCTTTGTACTGCATCGTATGCAATACACAATTTGGAGCATCCTTATGGCCTAGGGTGCGGGTTTGTCATTCACATCATTCCAGTGTACTAAGTTTCATTGTTCGCAAGGTTTTACTGCCCGAGGTTGTTTGTTGTTGTTTACAAACTGTAATTTCTGTTTGATGAACTCTGATCATGGTACACCGATGTATGCACCAAGTCTCATTGTTGGAGGACCCACCATAAGATAATAGCACAAACACAGTTTATCCTGGGGCTGTTTGTTTTTGTTTACAAACTTGTAATTTTTGTTTTGATGAACTTTTATTATGGTACATCACTACCAAGTTCCATCTTTAGAGGACCCACCATAAGCAAGTTATAGGCACAAACACAGTTGGACGCTGAGGCTGTTGTGTTGTTTACAAACTTGTAATTTTTGTTTTGATGATGTACATCAGCGTACCAAGTTCCATCTTTAGAGGACCCACCATAAGCAAGTTATAGGCACAAACACAGTTGACGCATGAGGCTGTTTGTTGTTGTTTACAAACTTGTAATTTCTGTTTCGATCAACTCTTACAATGGTACGTAGATCAGTATATGTACCATGTGTAATTTGTTAGTGGACCCCCATGAGCAAGTTATAGGCACAAACACCGTTTACACATTTTTTATTGCCTTAGGCTGTTCGTTGTTGTTGTTTACAACCGTGTAATGTTTACATTTGATACTAATGATGGAGGTGCACATGTATACAAAGTTTTTATCATTCAAGGTATGGCAGATTAACTACTATCGCACTATATTATTGGTCTATATCATAATATATGGCTAGCGCTATTTTATATAAACAACATTGTTTACGACGTTGCACACCGGGTAATTTTACAAGTTTCGTCTCTATACCTCACATACACTTGTTGAACTGAACATGACAACAACAACGACAATGACAACAGGAAGAATTCTGAAAGTGGACTTTCTTGAATAATCGAAGACCATCCGATTTAAGTCATTTTAGGCACAGGTGTATTTTTACCATGGATAAGATTGATGTGTCAGAAGTCAGATCTGATTGAAAATGGAAGTCAAATTGTATGGACATAATGCTGACCCCATGTCATCCCTCTACACTAAGTATACTACGTAGTTGGTGATAATGTATGTTAAAAAATTAAAATGCTCGCCATTCTACATCCTTACTAAGTCACACGTGGAAATTGTCTAACAAGCAACAGATATGCAGTAGTGGGCAATGCCTGACGTTATGCATGGTGTACACACCTGTGTGTGCTAGCAATGGCGAAAGTTCTACTGCAAAAGTTACAGTTATGTCTATACCCTACAGCAATATGTTCGTTAGTAGCCCAGAAGCCATAATATGAAAAGTTCTGCCTGTAGTACATTAGCAGACCCGCAACTGCACTGTCAATTCCGCTGTATATTTCTTGTACACAGTGCACACTCATAAAACTTGTATGACTGGCTACTGTGCCTGGCTACAAATGGGTTAACCAATGGTGGAGAAGGTACTGGGAAATACCCTCGGTGCTTATCACTACCGCCATCGGGCTGCACCCTTATGCGGTACTGATAAGCACCTGGGGTATAATATTCAGTATCCTCTAAAGCCATGAGGCTGTTTGTTGTTCTTTATCAACTTGTAATTTGTTTTTATCAACTCTTATCATGGTACGTACATCATATGATAGGCGGGTGTGATTGCTTGTGCGACTTACTGTATACACTGTGAATGCTCTTTTCGCAAACTGAATAATAATTATGCATCCACTTATGTTTAGACTTGAGTGTGAGAAGCTAGACTTTCAGAAAAGATTTGAAAGCCTACAAAACCAAGTAAGTTTTGTATGGTAATTGAATCAGGCCAGTTTTGCTCTATGGTAGGTACGTACACTGTATGGCAGGAAACTCACAATGCCAATGAATCATGACAACTTTATTAGCTATAATGATAAAGCAACCCACAACACTTACAATGGGACCTCCGAATAACGGGGGGAAATTGGGACAGCTATTTTTCATTATTTGGAGTTTTTCTGGTACGTGAAATTCTGCAAGGAATAAGTGATGGTATAAGAAGTACATTAGACAACACAGGAATGGGATGTATGAAACACGGTTTACAAATAGATTTTGAGCACTCTAACAACGCCTATTTGGACTATGTAACGGTTGTTGTTTACAATGACACTTTTTCATAAAACAACATTTTTGTGTCCTCTCAATAGATCCTGCTGAAACACATAATGGTGAATGTTTAATACGTCACCTAGCCAACAAGCATGTCAAACCACACCAATTCACAGACACAGAATTACGTTAACCCTCAGGGCGCATACGCAGCCAGGGTTGCGGTACTTGGTTTGTAAGTCCGTCCATCTGTCCGTCTGTCCGCACTTCTACTATTGCCTCTCGCGCTATGACATGCAAAAGTAACAGGTAAATTTAAAATCCTGCGAATTTAAAGAAAGAGGCATGTAGGGATGGTATAAAAAGAAAGGGAGACAAGATAGGGATGGGATACATGAACCATGGTTAATGAACCGATTTGAGCACGCTGACACCCCCAACCCCATCACACAATCCCTATATTGTTGCCTGGTGTGCCACTCCATTTGTACTCTTGGTTATACTCAGTAGCATGACTTTTTTCGTATTTTCAAGCTAGACTATTGTGTAATGTTGAATGTTAAATGCTTCACCTGGGCAACAATATAGGGAGTGTGTGATAGGGTTGGGGGTGTCAGCATGTATTCATTAACCATGCCTCATGTATCCCATCCCCATCTTGTCTCCCTTCCCTGTCATCCCTATACCTCCTTTTTAAATTCGCAGGATTTATTTACCTGTCTCCACTCATTTTTACATATAATTATATCTCTGTGAAAGGGGGATAAAAATTAATAATAGAGAAATATACCTGTTGTCATCATGGAAATGATATAATACGCATGCGTACCAACTTGTGTGCTGCCATTAGCAGGTTTGAGAAGAAGTAAATGCCTGAGGATATTTGTTGTTCAAATAATATGTGGTGGTCATAGAAATGATGTCATATGCACTCTGGCCAAGTTTCATCTCCATGCATGGTACTGTTAGAGAGTTGAGGAGTGAAGAAGTAATTATAAAGAAAAGTTCCTGAGGCTTTTTGTTGTTGTGGTCGTCATGGAAACAATGTAAAACACATGCGCACCAAGTTTAAACTCCTGTGTGCTACAGTTACCAAGTTTGAGGACTGAAGAAGTAGTTTTATAGAAAAGTGCCTGAGGCTATTTGTTGTTGTGGTGTTCATGGAAACGATGTATTATGAATGTGTACCAAGTTTCACCTCTATGCGTGCTACAGTTAGCAAGTTTGAGGAGTGAAGACCTGAGGCTTTTTCAAACAATATGCGGTCGTCATGAAAACATGTAATTGTCATGGAAATGATTGGGCATACATAATTATATACCAAGTTTCATCTCTATGTGTGCTACGTACGTGCCATTGGAAAGGTTGAGAGAAGTGATTTAAAGAAAAGTGCCTGAGGCTATTTGTTGTTGTTTACAAACATGTATTGTTGTTATTTTGATGTTGGCTATTGAATACATTGTGTATACAAACTTTCGTTCATGTAGCTCTTACCAATTGTGGGTTATACTGACACATGTGAACCCCATTATAATGTATTGCCTGTGGCTCTTTCTTATAAGTATGACCTATCTCTTCGGGTGACGGATTTCTACATTCTTACAAAATATCATTACTTTATGTTGTTTCGTTTTTTAGTTATATGGGTGTTGAATCTGAAGAAGAAGAAGGAGAAGTAGGAGGAGAAGATGAACAAAACTCCCTATCATAGCCCCATGCATCTATGATGCTAGGTACCATGCCCATCCCTTTATACGAAGTACGTAATAGTTATATAATAGAGCACTAGCGCTTCGGGTGTAATCAAAATAAAACCGCTTACCTAAAAAGTTAGAGCGTGTTTTGTTTACCACGGCCAGGTCCGCCATTTTGTTTCTTTTAAAGACTAAGATGGCTGTAACTTTTCACGTACCCATTTGAAGGCACCATGTTAAACGTTAGATATCACTAAGTACGGTAGTACTTAGTATATAGGGATTGGCATGGTACCTAGCATCATACATGTATGGGGCTATGATAGGGAGTTTTGTTCATCTTCTTCTCCTTCTCCTTCTTCTTCTTCAGATTCAACACCCATAACTCAAAAACGAAACAACGTAAAGTAATGAAATTTGGTAAGAATGTAGATATTCATCACCCGAAGAGACTGGTAATACTTATTTCTTTGTAAACAGCAACAAATAGCCCCAGGCAGTACATTATAATGGGATTGCATGCGTCAGTATATAACTCACAAATGGTAAGAGCTATGGGAACGAAACTTGTAGACATAATGTATTCAATCACCAACATCAAAATCACAACAGTACATGTTAGTAAACAACAACAAATAGCCTCAGGCTTAAATTTACCTCGTCACTCTCCAATGGTAGCATGAATAGAAATGAAACTTGGTATGCATGCCTATTATCTGATAATGACATGTTTCCATGACCACCGCATTTTGTTTGAAAAAGCCTCAGGCAATTTTCTTTAAATAACTTCTTCACTCCTCAAACTTGCTAACAGCAGCACACATGGAGATGAAACATGGTATGCATATCATTTCAGTGAGGACAACAGGCAATTTTTCTCTATTAAAATTTTTATAGGGGCTTGCCCCCTTCCACAGAGATAATACGTAGTAGTATATCAAAATGAGTGGAGACAAGCAAATTAAAAATCCTGCGAATTTAAAAAGAAGCATATAGCGATGGTATAAAAAAGAAAGGGAGACAAGATAGTGATGGGATACATGAAGCATGGTTAATGAACAGATTTGAGTACACTGACAACCCCAACCCCATCACACAATTCCTATAAACATTCACCATTACAATACTCAGAACTTAAAATACACTGAGTAACCAACCCCCTTATAGAGTCCAAGTGGAGTTTAAAGGGAATGTGACAGTATAAATGTTACTACAAACAACAGGGGCACGGTGAAAGAATTCTTTTCTTTTAGTAACCTTTAGCTCCTATAAGAGTAGCACACCAGGCAACAATATAGGGATTGTATGATGGGGTTGGGGTTGTCAGCGTACTCAAATCTGTTCATTAACCATGCTTCATGTATCCCATCACTATCTTGTCTCCCTTTCTTTTATACCACCCTATATGCCTCTCTTTTTAAATTCACAGGATTTTTAATTTGCTTGTTATCACAAGTATGGTAGTACTTAGTATATAGGGATGCGACAGGTCATCCTGCATTATGCCCATACATTTGAGATTTTCATGTTTCATGTTCAGTTTCAATCATTTGATACATCAGACTGATTCGTATCGTCTCAAAGAGCATGTATCCAAGAAATGGCTTAAATCGCATAATCGGTACTTGATTTATTCAAGAAATTGGGACTTTTTAAAATTCTTGTTGTTGTTGTTCAGTTTATACACACGTATGTATCTCAAAAACCACTTAAGATATGGAGATGAAACTTTGCACAAAGATTGTAATCTGTGACCCGGCGTGCAAGAACATTTTTATTTCTTCGTAATTCTGTTTACATGTAAACAACAGCAAAAAATAGCCCCAGGCAATACATTATGATAGAGACAAATTAACTGTGCTAACTAGGTAAAGCTAATATCCAGAGTGATAAACCCATTATTAGTAGAAAAAATGTAAGCATTACAAGTTTGTAAACAACAACAAACAGCCTCAGGCAATTAAAACGTGTAAAATCTGTTGTGCCTATAACTTGCTTATGATGAGTCCTATAACAATGAAACTTGGTACACTGATGTACCATGATAAGAGTTCATCGAAACAGAAATTACAAGGTTGTAAACAACAACAAACAGCCTCAGGCAATAAATATGTGTGTAAATGGTGTTTGTGCCTCTAACTTGCTAATGGTTGGTCGGTCCACTAACAATGAAGCTTGGTACACTGATCTACCATGATAAGAGTTCATCAAAACAGAAATTACGAGGTTGTAAACAACAACAAACAGCCCCAGGCAATAAAAACTTATATATGGTGTTTGTGCCTATAAATTACTTGTGGTTTGGCCTCTAACAATGAAACTTTGGTACACTGATTCACCATGATAAAGACTTCACCGAAACAGAAAATACAAGGTCAACAGCCTCAGGCAAAGAAGACTTTCAGTGCCTATAACTTGCTTATGATTGGTCCTCTCACAATGAAACTTGGTGCACTGATGTAATGTGAATGACGCAAAACGTCTGAGGCGGTAGCTTAAGGCCAGTAATGTTACTTTTTTTTATGGGCTTATCCCCAAATATATCCTCTGTTTATATGCACACCATGCATGTGAATAAAGAAAAGGAGACAAGTAAATAAAAAAATTCTTCGAATTAAAAAAAGTGTGCAATAGAGGGATGCCATAAAAGGTAAGGAGACAAGACAGGGATGACCTAGTGAACATGATGCCGTAGTACGATGGATGACGGCTACATACGTACTTTGAACTGACATCGCTTGCTCGTGTAGAATTTCCTCCACACAAGCCCTATATTGTCGCCCCCTTTACTGTTTTTTTAGTGAAGTGCGAGGACAATGGTGAAAGGATTCTGTATGTAGATGGCCAAGAATTCAGCATTGTAAAACTGTGGTTAGTTGAGCAAATAGTGATAGACTGCACACAATGCAGTCACAACTGAAAACCGAGCAGATGATGGTATTATCTGTCTAATGTGCTTATTCATAGATGTGCATCATACAAGGGAGCACACTCGTACATGGCGACAATATAGGGCTTGTGTGGAGGAAATTTTACTCGAGCAAGCGATGTCAGTTCAAAGTATGTAGCCATCATCCATTGTACTACTGCTTCATGTTCACTAGGTCATCCCTGTCTTGTCTCCTTACTTTTTATGGCATCCCTATATTCCACACTTTAATTCGAAGATTCTTTATTTACTTGTAATGCTTAGGACTCACCATAATTCGGATTACCAGTAACATTATGACCCTCATTTTTCAGGACCATGAATCAGTGCTAGGCGTGCAGGATACGGAATCACTATCGGCCTTGCAAGAGTACATAGCAGCACTTTCACATCCCGACACTGGAATACCATGTCAAGTATGTACATTATAATGTGTATCTAGAGGCTTTAAAAGTTAGTGTAAATGTCCATGCAGCGTCTTTAGACACCTTACCTTTTTGGACACAGGAGTTAGTGTCAGGGATCAAAATATTTACCGGATCTTCGGCAGCTCACTGGTTCATAAAGAATATGGAGGGAGTTTCATCGATGCAAAATGCTCAGGTTAAATCCATTCATCACTTGCATATTATGTCACAGAATGATAATTATCACTTATTTGTGCGAATCAATGCAAAATCCTTGGCGATATTGGGTTGTATGTTATAGCCACTAACGCTGCCTACTTCAGCCCGCAGAATTCACTGACCGTAATGACATAAAGTACCAAGAGAGTGATTGTTCTACCACCAAGCTTTAAAAAATGAAAGCTACAACTAGCAAACGAGAACTTCATATACTTGGGGGAAATATTGTACACAGAAACAAAAGTGCGTAATCTCGATGCATGCGCTTTTGACGACGTGTGGTTGGTGGTATAACCACATGTTACGTTTACAGGAAGATTTAAGTCTAACAGCATGCTTTTGATATTTTTGAGCCCATAGTGTGGTGCATGTACGTCTTTGTATGGCTTATTGTTTAATGCATGAGGACAGCAAAACACCTACTGTGTTTCATTGCACATTCCTTGGTGTGGTGGGAATTGTATAGCATATTGGTATACACAAAGATTTATGCAGTTCCACAATGGTTAGATTGCTTTGATGTTGTATGGTGGAAAATAATTGGTTCAGTTGCAACAATTGAGTTTATCCTGTAGAGATATCATCTGTAAAACAGCTAGTGGAGTGTTACTGGTAGCATTCGTGCACTGTGTGTGCGATAAGGACGCACAATACATCGTGTCTCTAAGAATCTGGTTGAGGTTATTTTTAACACTTGGCTTTCACACAATAACTTTTCAGCACAGCTTGTTGGGCGTTGCAAAAGGAGCTAGAATTAGGCTTACCTCTGCAGTTGTTTCCATCTTGGTAGTCGCCTTGGTCGCACTCACATCGTATCTCGTCGCTGAACCATAATCTAAGAATGCTACATCTCAGAGACTCGGGTACACTCTCGTCCGTGTGGTGGTGAAAACACGGACTGACAGACACACTCACGAACCGTGCACCAGAGGATATCATCATTTCTTTACGACCACTAGTACATTTAACTTCAAGGTAGAAATTTTAAAGAAGCGCGTAAAAACATCTTTTGAGCTAATTTTAACTCTTCCTATACATTTGCCATTTATATTTTATACCATGATTTGGCCCAAAAAAACTAAAATCATGGTATAGTTTTTTTACCTCGTTTTTCTCTTGCTCTAACGTAAAGAGCTAGAACAAAGAATTACGAATTAGCTAGCTGTAAAGGACCACTTTTCAAGCAATTACACTGGCTGGCGATCAGCTATATACACGCAGATTCGGTCCTGGGTTATCGTTCCAACACACACGTGGCTGGCCAGCTCAAACCTTCATCTCTCTCTAGATCACGTGATACAAAAATTGAGGTTTACGTAAGAATGATATAGTAAAATACACAACACGCTCCCCCCGTTGACCAGACCTGGTCAACTAAGGTATGTAAGTTAGGCATGAATGAAAAAGGTTCAAATGTCCTGGAGTTGATACATGCAAGCCTTTCTGCCATCATCAGCTTGCTGTGCAGTGACACACTGAGAACGTTTTCCAGCTTCTTTGAAATGTACAACTTCTGTTTTCTCCTCTTCCTTTGCTGGTTCAGGTGGCGAAGTATCTCTTGATGATATCTCTGGACCTGTCGTGGCATCTGGAGGGTTTGGACGACACACCTCAAGTGGATAGAGCAATTGAATCGGGCGGTGCAATAAATCTTGCTGCATGGTCTGTCTCTCTTCACCACCTTGACCACCGCACCTCTGATTTGTCCATCGCAACCCTTTATTGTTTTTTGTATCCTTCTGAGCTTCTATGGACCACGAGGCAAACGTTCGTCGTGAACAATGAAAACATCTCTGATGGCAAGGCTGGGATTGTCCTTCTATGGAGTCTTTCGTGTTGAGTGGGAATGCGCTTCTCTCAGTTCATTGAGGTATTCGGTTCTCCATCGGTTCCAAAAGTGGTTCAATGTATTGTTAAAATGCTTCATCCGTCTTGTAAGTGGCATGGGATCCACTGTGAAGTCGTCATCATTTGGATCTGCTAGGTGTCTAAGGTGATCTGGTAGGTTAAGAATTATTCGTCCCACCAACAGATGAGAAAGGGTGAGTGGTTCCTCTATGTCACTAGCAGAGATGTAGGACAATGGTCTTGAGTTAATTACTGGTTCAATTTCAGCGAGTGCTGTGATAAGTTCATCTAATGAGAAGTGTGGTCTTCCGATCATCTTATGCAAACAGCGTTTTGTTGACTTAACCATTCTTTCAAATGCACCTCCCCACCATGGAACACACTCAATGTTGAAAAGCCATTCGCTGCCTAGTTCGGCCAGATTATCATTGACAGTGGAATCTTGGAAGACGACCTTGATGTACTTTGCTGCTGCCTTGAAGGTTTTGCCGTTGTCTTAGATGAATTTGCGATGTAAACCTCTTCTCGCGGTGAATCGCTTCAGGCATCTTATGAGCGTTTGCGTGGACTGATCTGAGACAGCATCTAGATGCAGAGCTCAGGTTACGAAGCAAGTAAAGAGACAGATCCAAACCTTGCTGGCGGTCGACGTTTCAGAGACACGAATGCTCAGTGGACCAGCAAAGTCCACATCAGTATAGGTGAATGCCGTATCTTCCTTCACTCTGTAATTAGGTAGTGGTGGCGGTTGTGGACCCTGGAAGGGCATTCCCTCAAATCTGCGACACAGGACACAGCGGTGGATGATATACCTGGTCAGGCTTCTTCCTTTTGGGATCCAGAACTTTCTTCTGATTTCAGTTAAGATTCCATTGTGGAAGACACGCTCATGGGCATCCCTCACAATCAGTTCGGTGAGTGGATGGGTTCTGGGTAGAAGTATTTGGTGTTTGATGCTGTACGACACGTCCACATTGGAGAGTCTCCCCCCACAATGCCATACCCCATTGTCATCCTCGAAGAGTCTAAACTTTGCTTTCTGGTTGGTGAAGTCCTCTCGACAGATAAGTTGTTGCTGTACACTAGTGATCCACAGTGTCTCAGCCTGCACTAGCTCCTCTGCAGTGATGGTCGTGGGATTTTCGACGTTGGTCTTGAACCTTTTTACGGCCCTTATAACTTGTGCAGTCACTCTCAAAAGTCGTGGTAGGGTGCTGGCAAGTCATTAGGCCATCTAAGATCTGTGGTGATGAGGTTGAGAGACTTCATGGCGCGAACCTTCAGCTCTGAGTATATAGCATTCTTCAGGCATGCTGTCTGTTTCAATTTCATTGCCCACACGTTTCGACGTCCCAACTCGGCTATTACTCTACCTGGCTTATACACTATAGAAAGCCCCGTTTCGTCCATATTATAATATATCATCATTGGCTTTGACAGAATATTTAGATCTTCGTTGGCACACGCTGCACGTGAGTGAGACAGCGATGCGCGGACCTAAGCGTCATGTTAGGATGACGAGCCCTGAAACGATCCAACCAAGTCCGCCCCGCTGCTCCGTTGGAGAAGGGAGTTTGCGGCCAGATGCTTCAACAATTTTGTACGCAGTGTGCATGACATCATCCCTGGAAATGACAAAGCCTATGTCTGCCATTTTAACACAGTACATGGCAACCTGGTGTTCCTCGTCCTCAGTTAACACAGTTGGAGGAGACCTGCATTCCAACACCACTACATGGTTCACCCGCTGCCTGAGGGTTTCACATGAGACATTATAGAGCCTTGACGCTTCCCTAATACCCATACCATCCTCAATGCTACTCACAGCAGCTGCCATGCTCTCCTTCATCCATAATTTTCTATTAGCTCTTGATGACATCATCTGCATACATATAATTTACACCTGAATAACCGTGGACAATAGATATATAAAGATTTGACAACTACGAGCGCCGTTAATGTACCCGTGAAGCCGCTCTTACATTGTTGATTGTATGCACGAAATATCGCTTTGATACTTCAAGGTGACTCGTAATACCCGCGTAAAACTGTTTATGCAGGTTGTTGGACAGAGATTAATTAGTCTTGGTGCATTCATTGAAATTCAAGGAGGTACAACTTTTGTTGTTTCAAGTACTGCATACTACCAATTTTGTGTCACATCTCAGTCCAGAAAGGTACAAATGGACCAAGATAAAAGGTGGGTTTATGGATGAAATGGGGAAATTGTTATTCCAACATTACTAATCAGAAGTCTTTATAATGTCAGGGGCATAGGGTGGCACAGAAAGCCAAATTGCTTTAGCTACAGAGTTTGCACAATAGTGCAGCTTTTTTTAACTATGTTTTTGTTTTATAGGCAAGTGAGGTCTCAGAGTCTTGGCTCATTTTCTCATCGAGTACCCCCTTCTGCATACCAAGGACTATCAAGGTATGATATACACATGGCTGAGTTGCCCTGGTAGCGCAGTTGCAAGAGCATTCGCCTATACTACAGAGTGTCATCGGTTGGAATCCCACTCTGGACAACTATTTTTTCACGTTGTCCATGGGTGAAGTATTTGCTTTGACCTTATTCTTGACATGCATACTTACTTGAGTTGGGACATCTTTTATGGTTTCATTTCCCCAGCTTGCTCCTGCATTCTAAGTGGGAGTGAATTGTGCAGTAGCACAGTGGTGCTTTGAGGTTTTACGTTGTGTTGTGATTCGAACCCCTACAAGCTGAGTTGCCCTGGTAGCTCTGTTTGTAAGAGTTGTCAGGGGTGTAGTTGATTTGTTTGCCTTTGCTTTGCTTTGCTTTTACATCCATCTTTGTTGAAATACATGTGTCATGATTGAGTGAATTTTTTTCTCAATTAGCCCCATACTGCTATTGTATATACTTCAGCACAGTATATGGGCACTTAGATCAAAGGTGCCTACCCCTGCCATGTGGAATGTTAACATTATTCATTGCTAATACACCCTGCCATCACTCATGAATATCATTATTGTCCGTGGCATAAACCTGCGGTGAGCTAATGAACCACATGAAAAAAACAGCTACTTTTACGACGCTACTTTTAAAGTTCCATCATGGCGGGCCAGTAGAAGAAGCGTAGCAAGCGAATCACACCCAGAGCTTGAAGCGGAGCCAGTGCCGCGACCGCCGCTACACCGCGAAAATGCCACGGGAACACTACGCTCACGTTTGCTAGAGATAAGCAAGTTCTTGGTTCCAGCCGGGCTGCCAGAGCCAACCGCGAGCTAACGCGCCACGAGCGGTGCTGAGAAAATATCTTCACTCAGCTTCTTTCTAACCCTTGGGCTCCCTCTGTTACTAAATTCATTCCTGCACTCAGGCGTATTATTCACATACCACCCTGACCGGCCTGATATAAATAATAATACATAAACTGTCATAAACCAACCTCTTGGCTTAATGCTACTATGATTCATATAGGGGCCAAGAAGTGCTTTAAATTATTGCATATCTTTTTCTATGCCAACTAGATCAAGACGTTTGTATTTTGAGAACCAACCTTTTGTTGTAGAGAGCGCGGAACGCAATTGTTCACTTAAGCACAGATGTGTTTGCAGCTGTGTTGCGCAGAATTATTAGCCATTAAGTGATGCTCCCTCCCTTTGTGGATAGAGTGGCTGGCATGAGACTATCTATGCGTGCAGGACACATGCCTGTGCCGAGGGTTTGCACTGTTTATTCCTACACTAGCTAGTCATGATATTTCACTCCGGTCCGTGTGCTCCTACGTATCTTATAAATGCAACCCCTGTATCCTCACTGTCTTGTGGTAGGAAGTAGGTTAGCCTCTAGTGGCACACTCTCTGCACACCATTCATGCTAATTGGGATGACAGGTGCAGAGGTTGTTATGGAAAATGATATATTTGTAGCCCAGCATACACTCACATCATTAAAGGTGCTGACAAGGCTATTAGGCCTGCCGTGTGAAATGTTTACATTATTCATTGCAAATATGCCCTGTGGTAACAGGTGTGTTAGCAATTAAAAACCCATGGCAGCGCATGTAGCAATGAATAATATTTATAAACCCTGCGGTCAGGCTCAATTACGTACATGAAAATGGCTGTTACAGTAGGTATGACGCTGGTTTTGAAGTTCTGTGCATCCAGTACACACCCAGAACTTGAGGCGGAGTCAGTGCCTCGACTGCCGCCACAAATGCCACGGCAATGCTACGTTCGTGTATCCTCGAGCTTATCAAGTTTTTGGTTGTTCAAGCTGGCTGCCACCACCAACCACGGGCTATGCTAAGAGCGGCACTGGGAAAATATCTCCACCTCCGCACAGCCTCTCTCTAGCCTGAGCTTACCTCACCTGGAAGCAATAGTTTCTTGCGCTGAATTTGTACGCATATGATATGTCTCAAGCCACTACGCCTTCAAGAAACACTCCAGTAAGCTATGATGTTCATGAAGCCAAAAGTGAACCCGCCAAAGCCCTTTTTATATGTAGCCGCACTGACACTGTTATGCGCCCTCGGGCAGTTAGAACTCTCAAGCTGTGCCTTTGGGTACTAATTACATTTCTCCACTCGGGTGTGTACAATTCGCATGCCACCCTTACAAGTAATAATAATACTCAGGTGGCTGCCATAGCACTAGGGCCATAGACCACGCACCCAGAGCAATTGGCTGAACCGTTAACAAACGGACATACACCATATGAACATGAGGTGTCTGTCTCACCTCTCAGACACCTCAACTCACCCCTTCCACCATCGACACACTGCAGCTCCCCAGACGCAATCTGAGACTAGGTCTGTTGTACGCGGGGACTATCGCCGTATAACCTAACCTTCCTTTGCTCCCAAACATCCAAAATAAAACCTTTAACAAGGCCAAGCAAAGAACCAAATTTATCCCCCCACAGCTCACTACCCAATATAAAGGATGCTTTCCTGAAACTATCAAGCGACTGGAAATGCTCAAACCCATCATCCCCAAGCTTCCCCTGCAGGGCAACTAAGAAATTGCTCCTAAGACTACTATATGCTGGACACTCCCACAACACATGACTCACACTTTCAGACTCATCATCACACAACAGGCACTCCTTCATACCCTCCCTCCCCCTATGCATACCCAGTTCCTCATTTAGCCCATGCGTGCCTGACCTGAACTTAAACATTAATCTAGATACAGCATCACTTTTCCCATGCAAGTACTTTTTGAACTCTACTACCTTGTTAAATGTCTTATACAATAACAGCTTTACTCTGGTATTTAGCCCCTCTTCAAAGTTTCTAATCTCCCTCTCATTAATACTGTCCCCCACTATAGACAGAAAGCCCTTCAAGGAGCAATCCCCATGTTGAATATCATGCAACCACTCTGCCTTGTTAAGAAAATGGCGTGTGCAAGTAATACGTAATATAATGAAAAGCACTGAAGTGCAAACTCTCGGTGCATTACGCATGCACGGTACCGCTAATTGATGGGCTGTGTGTGTTTACTTGTTGTCTCCGGTCGCGGAGAGTCTGACATGGGCTAGTTACACCATGAGATAGCATGCGAGAGGGCCTTCGTGGTGACTTCTTGTGCCTCCGCAAGGTACAAAGAGCAAGTGGATAGGTTGAGATAAGCTTGTGCGATTATGCATATTGGCTTTTTCGCTTATATTCACGGTATATCTCTCGTCGTTTCAGGAGCAAATTTTCTTTTTCAGGTTCGCGAAGTTCTGAAGACATTGGTATCACTCATGGGCCACCTCAAACCCTGTAGTGCAAGAATAGCTGCTGACAGACAGACAGACGCACACACAGACCATTTACTGTAACCCTCGCTGTGCATGCGCACCGAGGGTTGTGTGCCTTACACTATCAGTAACCAAAGTATAGATGTTTCTGCATTTCCCTATATACATGTGCAATATGCACAAAAATTGAAAGCACTAAAGTACAAACCCTCGGCAAACTGCACATGCGCGGTACCGCTAATTGATGGGCTGGGCTATTAGTGTGCGTTTACTCGCGGTCCGCTCCCGCTAGTAGCTCGCAGAGAGTCTGACATGGGCTAGCTACAGTACTAGATAGCATGCGAGAGTCGATACACGCCATTCATTGTGACTTCTTGTGCCTTCAAAATACACAGAGCAAGCGGACCCGGTCGAGGTAAGCCTGTGCTACATATAAGCGCATGCGCATTTTCCGGAGCGATAAAATGGCGTCTACCGGCATTAGCCGTACAATGCTGGATGCGCTCTAGCTTTGCAACAGAGAAAACCGTTCAAAATTTCTGACCTCCATTGCCCGTTAAGTAGATCGTGTCCTTTGTGAGACGAACAAACACTCGAGAAGTGAGATGGAGAGTAACAGACAGACAGACAGACAGACCCAATTACTGTAACCCTCGCTGCTCATGCGCGCCGAGGGTTAATAACTAGGTGAATGCAGTGCATTTTTGGCGAACGGGAGCGATCCAACTAATGGTTCGACAACAAAGAAAGAATAAAAATTAACAAT